TGCCACGTGGCCCCTATTTTTTTTTTTTTTCCTCCTTTCCGGGTGCTACAAACTATCTAAATTTAAGTGATAAGATTGATATGTATGAAATGAAGATGAAACAACATAGAGAAAATCTTGAACATTTGATTATACAAAAACGTAATTTATCTAAAATTTCAATATGACATGAAGAACAAAAAAAAAAATGAAAGCTGAGTTAATTAACGAAAAATTAAGTGCTGCAATCTAACGATCAAGAGTTAACAATTATTGAAGGTATGGACACAAGTGAAGCATTTGAAATAGTATAAGACATTGTGAATGAGATTGTTATTCTTACTTATTAAGAAATTTAATTTTCTTTTTTCACTAAAAAGAATAGTAAAATTTCAATTTCCTTTTATAGTAGAAATGAAGTTTTAGCAAGTTTTATAATAAAAAGAAATAGGATAATCCCTTCTAATTAACTTATTTTCCTATTTTAGGTTCCCTATGTTTACAATAAAAGAAGATAGAAACCTTTCTCAGTTTTCTTCTATTTAACTTATTTTCCTACTTTACAGGTTTCTAGATTTCTTATTTTTGATGCATTTGATGCCTAATAAATAAGATACCTAGTTTAATTATTAGGTAGACTATGGATGATTATTATTCAACATTGATATATCGTTTTAATTATTGAGATATGAAATTTTTCAATTTTAATTCTTAAATTTTCTTTAAATTTTTTGTTTCAAACTTTCTTTATTCTACATTAGCAGGCCTCTAATTCCTTTATATGGATATGACAAGTTTTATTCAGTAAATATACGCTTGCAAAGCTTTTTGCATGTCATCAAGGTATTTTTTTGCCTTCCTTCAGTCGTTTTCCCAAGCATTTTTTGGGTTCTTTATCTTCTAACCCCTTCCTACGCAGCTATGGGTATAAGAGTTCCGATTGTTGCCTATTCTAATCTCTTTGGCTATGTGGGATGAACTTCCTTATTTTTCGGAAATAAAATGATAGCCACCAATATACTTTCTAGGCCAGCAAATCTTAGTACCATTGCGAATTCAGCAATTCCCCAACCATGGAGGAGTTAGTAAACTATTAGTTCTAAAAAGTTTCATCCCTTACAGTATGAACCTAGTTCTTCCTAATTTGACTCAACCCTTGTTTCAGTTAAGGTAGAGTCCAATAAATACGGTGCTTTTATTACAGTGGAATGAAAATAATATTACAGGTACTTCACAAATTTACCCATGATCTTTCTTTTTCTTTTTTTTCTTAAGAAAAAAGGAACTTCATAAATGGCTGATTAACTGAAACTTCCTTAATGCGCATTTTTTCGCTTTATTGATTCATGAGTCACCATGAAAAAGTAACGTTTATCTGACTACTTCTGTTTGGAAAGTTTTTCAATCAGGGCATTCTTTTCATCCTGCGGAAGAGCATTGAACATGAAGATAGATTTGTCACCAATGTCATCCTTCAAAAGCAAATTGTAAATTGTCAAATCCAGTCAAACAACAAAGAAACTCATTAAATTTAATAAGTAATAATATAACCTTTATGGGCTGAGTAAACTTTCTTCCAGCAAATATCACGAAGAGAACCATCCATGAACCAAGTAAAGTAAGTTTTACTCCATCATCCATCAATCCACTCTGCATGGTTCGAGTGAAGCCCATTAAGATCCATGTAAAACCAACTTCAATGACTTCGAATCTTCAAAAGATAAATACCATCAAGTCATTTTTCCACATCCCTTAAAAGTTCCAAGAGGTCTCTTTTAGTTCAATTTTCATTTAATTCCTAACTAAACTATCCTTAATTTTTATGATGATTTTCATAAGTATAATTACAATAAATCCTACTGTCACCTTGAGTTTCTCGTACATGAGATTCAATTTCCAGTGCTCACATGATCATTTTGTTGCATTTCTGGCTCTTGTATGGATTTACAGGGCCACAGTTTCTTTCTTTCTTTTTTTCCCTTGGTGTGAGAGGTGAGGCAATCAGTAAAACAAGGTAATTCTTTTCCTGGAACTATGTCTGGGAACATGTACAGTGACAACTCTTAAAATGAAAGTAGTTGTTACATATATAAATAACACTATTCGCTTTTTGACTTTTCAAAAAAAAATTTCCCAGTTCTCAGTGCAGAAACTGAATTCCCACTCCTAAGAAAGTTCGAAGTAGGATGAGGATGGAAACTTATGTTGTAGCTATGCGTACAAAGACTCTTACTAAAATTAAGAAAAAGGAATTAACAAGGGATGGACTGGAAACTGGACCAAACAGACCATAACAGGTTTAACTTGACAGGAGGAAGTTAACTTGCAGTATCACATATAAATCATCATATAAGGATGACTCCATTCTTTTGCAGATCAAATTTGGTGGTGAACTTTAAATTACAAGGTCAACTTCTTGATTAAATTTGCATTTAAAACATAGGATAGCATTTATATAGATCAAATAACAGAAGGTGTTGTAAAAGTTTTGTGAGAATAGTACCAGGTGCCCAAGAAGAACCATTGGTATGATGAAAGTAAGAAGACCAGCTTCAAGTTTCCCATAGCACAGGCCTGTCAAAGAAGGTAAATGGACACCATAAGAAAATTACAGTAATTTTTCAAGAGAAAAAACATATACATATAATTAAAATAGAAAAAGAACATAAAGAGAGGAATCATCCTTCCAAAAGAAACAAAACAAGCAAAAATGACAGATATCAAAATAAGACAGCCCTCTCAATTCCTTTGCCCAGCAGCACAACTGACAAAGATAAATCTCAAAAGAGTAAGTTGCATTCCCCCTCTATATTATGCAAAAACCTCTCATATTTATATACTGCTTTCTCGATATCAGCAGAAAAAACTCAGCGGTTGGTGGCAAGGCCTCCAATGGTAAAGTATTCAGTCATCAGCATGAACTGAGTGCCCAATGATTTTGAAAATGTCAATCAGAATTTTAGGAATGATATGTGGTAAAGAAGTCCTCTAGAGTATACATTATTCTTTATAATTAAATAATATAGTGATGTGGGTAAAGCATATAAGTTTGTCAAGGAAGGACTTTTCCTTGGAGTTTGAAGAAACAGAATAATTTCCATATAATATGAAAAAGTCAGGTATACACACAATTGACCCATCCTAAAAAATCATGCACCTTGGTCCAAAGAGGCTCTATGTGAAACTTCTATCCCAAAAAACATGTGCAGAGTAAACACAAATTAAAGATGCAGCAGTTATTGTGTCTAGCCACTGTGGAACAGTTGCATCAAACAACACTGAGATTCTTTGTATTATTCTTTCTCTCGCTTTTACTTTAATCTGTGTGTATCTTGCTTTAGTATTTTCCTAATAGTTTTTCCTTCCTGTTGAAAGTCTACTCATAAAAAAATCTAAAACAATTGTTCTTCTCTATTTCTTGTCCAGACTTCTCAAGTCCCTTTTTATTCTCATTCTGTTGAATCAAAAGGGAAGCAAAATAAAACCATCTTAGTTTCAGTTTGACTCTTTTTCCAATCATTCCCTGTTCTTTGCTTAGTAAGCAAAAAAAGAAGTACCCAAAAGCCTAGGAGAGAGAAACTAGAGTCTGCATTCGTAGAATCTTGTTCCTGTCACATCCACCCAGGTCAAAAGTTGCCATAGCTAGGGGACTTCTCTACCGGTGTCCAACATCTATTGGCTTCTCAGTGCCAGCAGCCAGTCATGTGAAACTCATGTAGTACCAATACTCATCTCCTGCATACTGTTCCAATATGGTTTTAATCAGCCTGAGGTGTCCTTTTGGCTTATGTGATGTTTTTTAGTTATGATCACTGTTATAGGACTTTTTTTTAGACTCTCATTATGTGCTACATTTCTACCCCATTCTACTGCAACAACTCAGGGTTTTTTTGGTGCGATGACTGCAAAGTTTTTCTTACGATGCCTTTTTAGATAATGCTTGGTTTTATGAATGGGTTAGCAATGCATTTAAGGTTAGGGTGAGGCATTCTGGTAAATACAGTTTTGTTGTGCTCTGATGCGTGCCATTGAGGCTACATACACAGGTTTGCTATGTTAGGGAATTGAAGTTTCATGTTCAGTGATTGATGTTATATGAAGTTTTGATGCTCGTGTTTGAAGAAGCTAATAGTAATAACTAAAAGACTTTAAGTTGCTTATAGTATATTTTTTCATTTTGAAGGTAGTTGAAAAAAATGTGAAAAGTTCTAGGTGAATCCTCAGATCTCGTTGAACCATGGGTAATGAAGAGTGAGGACTACTTCTACCAAAAAAGTTTGGTTGTTAGGAACAGTTAGAGCTTTGCTCAAGACGAGTGAGGACTAGTCGCAAAATAGATGTGAATACTAGTGCTTTTTCCAGGCAGAGCGATGCAAGTTCTCCTAGAAAAGAACAATATTCTTTTCCTTTTCCATATTTAGTGAGTCTATTCTTAGTTTTCTTTGAATATAATATAGTAGTTCTTCAACATAATAACAAGAACTACATTCCAGCATTTCTCTCCAACTAGGGCAGCCAAAACCCAGCAAACAATGCCCCCTCCACAACAATCTATTCTCCTTTCCCCTCCCAACTCTTTGAAGAGAAGAGGTAATAAAGTACTCAAGTTTCGGAAGAGCTTCTGCCAACCCAACAGGAACGAAAAGTATCAAATGATCCTGTCCAACGCCTCTTAAGCCACATAATTGTGTAAAAACAGATGCCATAAGACCAACATCACGAAAACACTTGCAAACTTGAAGCAGATCATTACTATTGAGCATATTAAAAATCTGAGTCCTAACAAATACCTTAATCTTATGAGATTTGAATCATTCGGTGGTCTGAAACTTCTGACAGAGGACATTCTAGGAGGTTTGACTTTATTTAGTTGTTTGAAAGTTTGAGAACTTTGGAATTTTTTCCTCATTATTTTGTTCTCTACTCTAACTTGAGTAGCTAAAACCTATGAAGTTTTGACTTGTCCTTCCATCTTTGCCAGATTGGTTTACCCAACCGATTTAGCCATTTTTCAGTTATTTGGACCAGTCTCCAGGTCATTTTTACGTGCTCTTTCAATTTTTGAAGTTAGTTCTATCAAATTCACCCTTTACCATCTTCAAATGGAAAACTTAAATTTTTTTATGTAAAATAAGTTATGCCTAAATAGATTATAAGTTATAATTTTTTTAAATGTAAAATTATTATATTATTTAGAAATCTATTATTATAGTCGTTAACTTTAAGATTTTGTTTTTCGTATTTAGATTTCCTATTTTTTTTAATATTTCCTATTTGTATTAGAATTACTATTTCTAACATTATCTGTATTAGTTTCTTCTTTTTATTAGTAGTTTTCCTAATTCTACTAATTTACTATTTCCTAGTTTAATTCTAATTAGAAAAAGTTAGTTATAAATTATTATAAATAGTTTTATAACTTCGCTTACTGAATATTCAAGTTATTCAATAAAATATTTTAAAATTATCTCAATTTTCTGATTGTGTGATGCAATTAAACCCTCAAATATAATATTTTAAGACTTCTTACAAGTGATGTTTAAGAAACTCAATTTGTGATGTTTTACTTTTTTATTCCCAAATCCCTAATTGAACAAATCAACTTTATTTATCCTATATCAATTTTAGAATATTCAAGACAGAACAAGCATTTACTCATAGACAGTTAACTCTATAATTCTTTCTTGGTTGTAGTTACAAACAAACAAACAATTAAATAGAGAGAGGCTGGAAGCATCCTCAGACTTTTGATAGTCTGCTCCCCTATGGAAATATAAGGCAAAAAGCTTATTCATTATGAGAGGTGTGGCAAAAACCTTGTTTCAATCTTTATAGTTGAATTGCTCAATCTTTCAATGCAATGCATCCACAAACTATACAGATTAACTTAGGTGGGCAGTTTAAATATTTTGGTGAGTCAACAATATCTTGTTTCTATTTGTCATGGGGCCTATTGCGACTAAATTCTGTGTGACGAAGTTCCTAAAATATACACGCATATCCTGGGTTGAACTTCGTTTTATACTCAACATGTGCAACATGATGCATATAACAGTACTTATCATCTTAAATTTGGTAAGAAGAATGAAGAAATTTAATTCTTATTGAATTCTGAATACAAATGAGTCAACTAATACAAATTTAATTTCCAAAATAGAAAACACAAGATCAGTATACTTAATCTCCCCAAGTACTAAAACAGGAAATAGTTACTAATTATAACAGATTCTCTCACCAGAAAGAAAATAATAACTAATTATGACAGACTCACCAGAAAATAGGAAATTGTTTTAACAGAATCTCGCTAATCTTGGAACTCAACCATTATCTTAGTATCTAATCCAAATCTCATGATCTTAGCACTTAATCAAAATCTCATGATCTTAGCACTTAATCAAAATCTCATATTTCCACACTCTCCCTCAAGTTGGGTGGTAGATATCTAGCGTTCCCTACTTGCTCTTTATGTTCTCATAGTTTCCCTTTGAAAAGTGCTTTCATCAAAATGTCTACTGTTTGGCAACTAGAATGAACATATACAAGTGTGATTGTTCCGTCATCAATTTTTTCTTTGATGAAGTGACAGTCTCTCCATATTCTTTAGCCTATCATGGTGGACTAGATTCTTTGCAATTCTTATGGCAGTCCGGCAATCACAAAAATGGCATAGCAGAGTTTGGTGTGATTTCAAGTTCCTTCATATATTCTATGAGCCATAGCCCTAAATTCCACATCTATATTACATTTTTCCCCTACAAATTGATTCTTACTTCTCCAAGTCACCATATTTCTCCAAACATAGGAACAATTCTCGGTAATAGACCTTCAATCTATCAAGGATCTTGTCAATCAACATCAGTAAATACCTTAATTTCCTTATTTGAAGTTTTCTTGAACTAAAGTCCTATTCTTTCTTGAGAGATTGTAAGATTTTGTACACAGTCGTCATATGTTTTTAGCAGGGTTGTTCATGTAGCAAATTGTCATGCTCATACAGAAACCAACATCAGGCATTGTGTGAGATAGGTAGATAAACTTTCTAATTAATCTCTGGTAACTGTCTCTATAAATTGGAGAGCTTTCATCATTTTCAAGACTTGAATTTCTTCCAAAACAGCAATCTTCCATTCAAGTTCTTGAAGAGCTTCTTGGATGTTAAATGGATACAATCATCTTCAAGGAAGATGATGAATGCTTAGAAGTTCAGTGAAAGCTTCTATAAGATAACATGATTACTAAGTGGATTTTGTATTCAGGATCTTATATTTTTCCTTAAAGCAAATGGGTTGATCCAAATCATCAAGGTCATTATTGGAATTTAGGTCATTAATTATGTTACCTAATTGTGAACTCGGTTTATTTGGAACTTGTTCCAATTGTTAGTTTGCTCAAGTGGAGTGCTATACTCATGCTCTTTTTGACGAGAATTCTAAGGCTTTTTCTTTAAATTTCTCCTAAAATAAACAATTACTTCTTTACTATCTTGTGTAATTGACTCAAGAAAAATCGGGGTTGGCTCAAGAATGATAGAAGGAATGTTTGAGGAATTGTTTTAACGGACAATTGTAACTATG